TTCTTGAACCACACAGGGGCCATTGAATTAACTCTGGCCCGATTACGCTTTCCTGATACCCACGATGATGAAGAAGAACGGAGGGGACGTGGGCATAACGTCCACATCAGAGCTCAACCACGTTGGCGTCCTTGTGTCTGTGTGGCTTTGGAGAGTATGTATTTATACCTCAGATGTGTGAGTCGCAGATGTCCTAACATCATGACCTAGGTGTGAGGATAATTCAGGATAAATGGTCGTGCGAATGAGGGGGAGTTGAGGATCCGCGCGGCTGGGTCATCCTTTGTCGAAGGCTGGAGATACCGCATTATAGGGTGTGAATCATCGCTATCCACCACACCGTCAAGGTCGTTGGCGGTAATAAAGTGTGTGATCATTACACACCAACGAGTTCAGGTCGACACATTTCTTAGCAAAACGTCCAGCTGAAAATTTGGAGCAGAAGTTAACAGGATTTGATAAATCAAATCGCTCCCAATTGTGTTGCATCACAATATAACTATCTAACGCTTATTCGTGTCCTTATTACCTTTATGCTTGACGCTACAAGATGAAAAATGAGGGCTTAAGTTTGTACTCACCAGACTCTTCAAGTTGGGCAAATAATTCAGTGATATCGCCTTAAAAATCACTCCCACTTATCTCTGCAACATTTTCCAAAATGTCTTGATTGACCAATCGGTACAGAATCACACCACAAACTACTGGTAACGTTTAAAGTAACCACTTCATTTTTTGGTTATTTTGAACTGAAGGCCATCAATTTCTGTCAAATATTTTGCTGTACGGTTAAACAAGCATCTAAATGAAATTTGAATCTACTCACAGATTTTTTCGCTATATGATTAGTCATCTATATTGCTATCAGTCGAACTCTAGTTGACGGTTGGTTGGGGGTAAATTCCAATTTTGCACTGGAGTACGCTGTCTTCTTTATCAGCTTGATTACAGCTTCGTACCGTAAATTCCTTGCCCTCATTATGTCCATATCACAAGATATCCTGGTGTATTTTGCGTCATTATGAAAACGCAATACAAAATTATGTCCATTTACGACGTACATCCAGACACTGGGAAATCTTTATCAACAATCCATCTTATAAAGCCTCCCATTCGTCACATGGACGTGGGCTAATATGCACACAAATTCGATAACACAGCTGATTTGACTCTTTGTAGCGACGAATAAAGGCGCAGACATATTGGACCACGCTAGTCTTAGCCAATCCTCTGTCTCCTTACGTTTTAATAACATGCGAGGTAGATAGGCAGCCAACCAGAGACAGACACGTTTGAGAAGTGATATATAATGAGCGGCGTAGCCAGTGTGGTGGACGCAGATAGACGGTTCTTGAGGTGTGGTTCTGGCTTGTGATTGGTCAATAAAGCCTGTTCTGTTGCATCAGTCTCCTTTATACTAGGGCTCGGATATTCTACAACATCTAATTTATATCAATTGTAGTGCCGTACTAGGGCGCAGACATATTTTTAGACGCTTAGCTCGGCCAATCTCGTTTTGTGCGTTTGAATGACCCACTTTGACAATCAGCAGCAAACCGAAAATCAAGGCGAAAGAGAAGCAGTATGTGATGAGTATTAGAATGTATGCAGTATGTATTAGACTCTCAAAAGAACTTTTCCACATCGGTAGCAGCGGATGCGTTTGGATAACGCAAATCGAACCCCAGCCCTTACTCTATTTTGGACAACAGACACCATGACTATCGAAGGCCGGCTGCAGTTGTCGTGGAGATCCATCTATAGACATTGATCAGGATTTGAAGACAGTGTTGTGAATCGTGTTTATTCAGCCTCTTAATCCGGTCGCTTCACCTCCGACACAGGGTTCCCCATTTTGCAATATGTCGCCAGCCGCACGAATCCTCAACACCCCTTTCATTAGCACGAATACTTATCTTGGAGTATCCCCACACCTGGGTCTCGATGTTAACGCTTGTATGACTTACGCAAATGCTACACACGACAGCAACGAGATTGAGATCTGAGGTAAACGGTTGCGTCCACGTCCTCTCTGGTCCTTTTTCTTCATCGTGGGCATCAAGGAAGTGTAATCGGCCCAGGGTTAATTCCGTGTCCCCGGTGTGATTCGAGACTACATGCTGGGGCCCACATCAACAACGGCAATTCAGAGGAGGCAACCAGGAGACCAGAAACCGGTTGCATTTCAAGTGGAGAAGGAACCTGCGGTGGATGAGGAGGCCTTTCTGCATGTCAAGGAGATCAAAATTTCGCCACTTCCCTAGTTTGGTGCTTGAACTCCGATGAACAGCTCCTGGTGTTGGTTGTACCTGAACTCGACGTTCTACCCTGAGTCTCCGTAATATCATTTGTAGTGCCGCACTAGGGCGCAGACATATTTTTCGACGCTTAGCTCGGCCAATCCCGTTTTGTGCGTTTGAATGACACAGTAGGATCACTTGGCTCTGCTCAATCTCTCTTAAGATTCTTCTAATCGCTAGCCAAAGTCACAAACGTCAGGCTCAATTTAGCGGCTTCTGTGGTAGTCGGAAGGGTTACACCGCCCAACCTGAAGAAATCACCTCGGCTTGATTAAGTAAACACTGTTTTCATAACAGTGAGCATTTCCAGTGCCTCGTAGATTATGCCACACGAGGCAATTACTTTCGGCATTATCCAAAGAAGGCGTACACGCACGCACGCTGGTCCTCAGTGACATTCACATTCGTAGTGGGATGCCATCTGCGTGGTATTGTGTGCCCCTAAGCTGCCTGTTTCCCAGTCGCTCTCGCGCTCTCTCTCTCGCCTGTGTTTACGCCACATGTCACTTCCACTGTTGCATCACCGGCAGGGGTTGGGGTACAAATGTTAATCGCTGCGCATCCAGTTGGGGGTAATTAAAGATTGATGGGATCAGCTCTCTCGTGGAGGGTTTGTTTACAAAAAGGGGATGTGGTGCGTGGAATCTGGAGCAGGTTCACCTGTTGGGTAGCCAGGCCTGCTGTATGGGAACGCAGTTTTAATGATAACACACAAGTGGCAGGTGAACATTCCTTGGCTGTCCCAGTCACCAGCACCAGTCTATCTGCCGTCACAGGTTAGGCGCTTTACACAAATGAACTGCTGTTAGTGCTTTTTTTTAGAAATTTTACCTGGTTTGTCGAAAAGCGCGGACGTGAATTAAGCTGCCATGCTTCACTTTCAAAAATTTGCATTAAAAACTAACTCTATTTTTAAAAAAACGCGTCGATTTTTAGGCGTGACCGCTGTTGAGGGTGGCATAAATGAGGTACCGTGAAATACGACAAAAATTTCTACTTTCACTAATACCACGCCCGCCCTAAAAGTTAGTCTGGTTTAACTACCAATTTTGTGACAGCTGTCCAAATAGGTAATGGAAGTGTACTCTTAAAACTAGTGTCACCTTTCGTGCAAATAGTGCTCCTGCAAGTGTCGTTAATTCAGAGTAAAATGATGTGTTTTAATTAACCTAGATGGCCTTGTGCTAACGTTTCTTCTGTGACGCACGCCATTCGATCCACACACGCCGGTCTAGCCTGTTCTTTGTACTCCTCTCCCCCTTCCCGCACTCTCGCCTTCCTCAAGGCACGCCCATGAGTCCGAGGGCAACACAAACCCTCCTCGTGGCCATCCCTTTCCCTACTCTAACTCTCCCAAAGCTCTAGCCCTCTGAGTTTGTATGCGGTAGTATCGAATACATCCGATTCTTACAGTTATTCTTCTATCGCGTGCCTGGTAGCTAACCATGACGGGTTGGCTATCTAAGAGGGATGGGCTAACAGTCATCTCCCTATTTAGGTCCCCGATCGATAGGCGCGTTACACTTCGTAGGCAATTTAGTTGATGGAACGAGCGTTGCAGCATTGTAGATCCTACGATTACAACCTTTGGATTGTCTTTCCAGCTAGTCCTTTAAACGTCTTCAGTTATCATTTGGCAATATAACGGCAACATAAGTCTTACGACAGTCACAAAAACTCCATTTTGTTCTATTGAAATCATTTATGTTTCTTTAAATCTTATTTCTACTAAACCAGGTTAAAGCCAGGTTTTCATAGGGTAAAATTAGTCATTTTCATGTGCCAAACTAAACCCCGGGGTATATTAGAGGTGCTTGCTGAATCTCTTCTCGCAAATGTTGTTCTTTTAGGCGTTTCTAGCGGCTTGGTGATTAGGTTGACAAAAGCTCTGAACACCTTCATGTAGTGAGATCCTTTCCATAGGGTACGCGGCATAACCCCCAGTGTGCTCCATATTCAAGAAGATCGAATGTGCGTGAGATGTAGACTGAATATGTGATTAGGACCTCATTCTACCAAACCTGCTGTCACTGTGCAGTCCTCGTCATCAATGTCAGCAACCTCCTTATTGCTATCCGCCAATTCACCACTGAAACTACTTGCAGCAGAATGCTTCCTCAACTTAAAGTCCAGATTCTGCAATTGACGGTCGTTCTTCGATGAAACTTGCTGTCAATCCAGCAGTTATTAATGAAGAATTGTTCCTGTAACTAAACCCATTGGCATGACTACGGTAACCGTCACTTATTGTATTTTCAATTCCTTTCGCACCTACAGGAGAAAACTAGGCTTCAAACGGCTTCCCTGAGTTTAATCAGTTATAATTTGCCTTATGCATATCTCTGTATGAACCATGATTTGTTCCTACGCTCTATAACTTTGAAATTTCAACTGAGAACACAGAGAAATGTAGTTCTTTTGGGGCATAGTTCTTAAACTTATAATAAACCTCACAACGTTGCAACGTTAGACTCTGAGTAGTTCTGTTTTATCCGAATTTTATTGCACATCATTTGATTCAAGTCCAACCTACGCTAACCTTCGTAGCAGTTGAACTAAAGAAGACATTTTAGACTTTAATTTTTCACGAAAATGTATGCTTTTTTCAAAAGTAAGTCAGACAAAGCAGGCGTGGACTGCTAACAAAGCAACCATGTGATATGTGGAAAGGAGGTGTTTGTGTTTGAGTTCTGGGATGTGTTAGTGCTTTGTCTGGAATGGCGACTCAGCCAGGGACGCAGCTGAGAAGTATTTGGGAACAGCGCCTCGTGGGTTCGTACTTGGCACCTTTTTAAGGTCCAGAGGTTGTTGTGGGAAGGTGGCAGGCAGTGAGCTGGGATGTTGGTCGCTAGAAGCGAAAGAACAGTCTAAATTTCCTACTTATTAGGTGAACTCGGATGTTAAAGAAATTGCCTAAATCGATACTCAGTAAGAATTGTATTCACTGAAGCAGAATGTGAGCCATCAGTTTGGTTACCTCTCTCTATGTTTCCTGGTTATTAGCACTCTACCTGCTGTAGGATGAAAGCAAAGTTTACTGGCTTTCGTCGCAGATTAAGAAAATTCAGAAATGTGCCTAATTTTTGTCACCGATTTTGCAACTTTATGGATGCTCACAAAGCAACCATAACGGTGGAATGCAAGGCGACTGAAACTAACTTGCTGATTTATTAAAACCTATAACTAATTTTACCATTTGATAAAGATAGTTAATTGATCCGTTTCTCTTGGGTTTCAGGAGCCCGTAGCGAGCAGCGAGCGGGTACAGTGAGCCAGCATGAGCGAACACAATTCAATCGATTTTTGCGTGAATGCACTTCACGCAACTGTGTTCGTTCAGAGATCGATTTTTTAACGGAGCTATATAAAGAATGTCTTTTACAAAGTACAACCACGCTATTACTGCATTAATAAATAATTTGTGCTACGCGTTATCTCTGAATTTTCTCCCCTTCTTCAGTCGGACCTTTTCAGCGCAAAGTGTGGTTTTATAAGCGTACCAGGGCCCTAAACAAGTTCCAGTTCGTGAATTTTTACTTAAGACTCGTTTTAACAACGGACACAAAACGCAAACCAAATTCACCTTTCGGACTTCTGATAGGAAACATGGAAGAAACGATTCCTTGGTCGTCCATCGGGTTGTGAGAGAGCTTCCTCGGTTTTGATTGGTACAGGGTACACCGGAGAGAAGGAGGTGGTGGTGGTGGTGGCGCAGAGTGAAGTTTTAGCCAAACCAGGCGGAGCCAGAACGAGGCACGAATCGCCGATAACCAACTTACGACAGAGCAAACCGCATCGCGCCTGTGTGAGTTGGGGTTCGAAGGAGGACCAGCCGAGTGAGCGAACGAAAAATGGCTGATCCTTGCAGCAGATGTGCTCAAACGTTGGGATTGGCTGAAATAGTTACGAAATTTGAAGGTTTCGTGTGACTTTTCTAACAGGAAACTTACTATACGCCTTAGCGTCTGGCAAAAGAATTTATTTCCACTCGATGATACGCCAATAGAATTTGTCCATATCGGTGTAAATGAATGTTTTACTGCGTTTTAATGAAACTAATTACACCAACTACACAAAGCAACTTATTTCGATTTTCTTTAAAAATGTGTGTGCATTTTTAGCTTCTTTTGATGGAAGATGTTGAGTGTTAGGTTGTGTTACACAAGCATTTTTAATGTTACCGCAATGATTTTGACTTTTGCCTACAAAAACGCTGTTAGCACAAATTACTCAAATTCTATTCCGCACTATAGCTGAGATCAACTGCGCCAATCCTAACAAAGCCTTCCGTATCACATTTCTACGCAATCAGCAATCAGAGCGACTTGATTACTTCGCTCCCGGAGCCGTAAAACGTCTATTCTTCGGAGTCTCTGTACGTAGGTAATTAGGTTGCTAGGGGAAAGGGGACACAGCACTTGATTATTTGCCCCAAACAGGCGTAATTAATCCTAGCACGCCTCGGGACTTTTAGTTGTTATGTAAAAACAGCACTTGCTGATCGGTATTTCCCAGGAGAAAGTATCAAACTTAACCCCAGGGTGAACAATTGGCCCCTCCTTTTGAATGTCTCGAAGTCATCATAAGTTAAGTGTGAAAACAGCAGCCTTAGGGCGTTTGCGAGGAGGTTATGTCGGGTGAAAATCCTCATTACATCCAGAACTACTTGGCGTGAAAAAGTGTTTGGTTGCAAAACAAGAATCAGAGGTGGTGTCGTGAGGCTGATCAACGTTTCCTCCCGGCTTCTGGTCGTCAGAGTCCAATCCTAAGGCATGAGCTGAGTGACTGTGAAGACCTCATAAAAAGTATTTCCTCGAGGGATACACGGTGTGTGTGTGTGTGTGTGTATGTAGCCTTAATTTGGTTTACGCGAAGACTGTTGTAGTTGCTAGTTACATGATGTTCGCCGGCATCCAGCCGGACATGGCAAACCTCTGCGTGTATTCCACAGCTCTTGTTCATATTTTTGCTTGACCCTGTTAATGAGAGCGTCACCCAGTTTTGCTTACTGCAACCGTAGTTCAGCCAATCAAATAAAGCCCCAAATTCCTAGAAATTAACCTAATAAACACACCTTTTTACTGGTTCATAATCGCTTTTGTTCCTCGTAGTCGGATGTTGGGTTTATGGTGTTGGCGTTTTGGTTTGTGATTTTATCAACCAGTTTCGCCAAATGTACCTGCTGGCTTACCAGAAACCTCGGTGCAACACCAGATTCGTTGCCCTCATCGGCGCCATTGAGAGAAAATTGAATTTTCATTAGAGCGCGCTGAGATCCCGATGAGATCTCTGTGCTGATCCTCTTAACCTCAGCCCAGTAGAGCAGGGAGTCTGCGCCGCTTGTGGCCGCAGTCCGAAGGAAGTCGCTGAGCTTCAGTGCTTCGATTTTCTGTAGACTTCCGTCGGCCAACTGGACCCGACCTCCACGTCGAAAAGGTGGACCAGAGCGCCGTTTGGGTGGTGTCTGTCGGTGGTGCGGCCCCTGTGGTCTCGAGAATGCTGACGGTGGTGGGGGTGGCGCTGGAGGAGATGATGGTGCCACCTGCTTCCTGTGACTGCTTATGAGGGAAGCGAATAGACCGTAGGAGGCCGTGGCAGCCTTCAAGACGGCAAGATGGTCGGCCAGTGACAGTGGTGAGGGTGTAAGGTGTCGTGGGTCCGGCAGAGGTGGGGACAAATGAGACAAAGCGTTTCCCTTCTGCGTGGTCGCAAATGGCAGAAGTTCCATTCTTTTTTTTTTTCAAATCTGACTGCAAACAAACCGCTGTTTTAGTCAGAAACCGTGTTGCACAATAACTTCCTTGAGGATTTTTCACAAAATCATGACAAACTAGCGATAAACCCATAAGAAACTCAGGTACTTTTCCGAATAATTACAGTGAAGGCGGTCTGTTAAGCTTTTTCCGATACACGGCAAAAAATTGACTCGAATAATTAAAGTTGAAACGGCCGCGGATAACCAAGTACCCAACCGGCTAAATGAGGCATAATTAAATCTGCCGTTAAAACCAATCACCTTGGTTTCGTTGCTGCTCATTGGCTTAAATTCTGACAAGAATATGAAATCATTGCACCCAGCAAACTTAGCTTAATTGGCTTAGAATTACTACAAAGCAAGCCTTTAACATTGTCTTTCAAATAGAAACGAGCCTTGTGGACTTGAATGCCATCAAATCTACTCTTGTGAATGTAATCGTACTTTTAAGTACATCACAAAAAAAAGAAGTAGCATGTAAGGCGACTTGAAGGCTGAAAAAGCGCTGATAACGTACTTGTTTGTTCGGGAAACAGGTGGTGTGCGGATAAGCCAGATAAAAAGGCACCTCGTGGCATTATACCTGGCGCACGCGCCGCTTTCTGACCGCAAATCGCTGATTGGTGGAAATGGTGGTGCGCCCGTGGCTTCGCCACCAGCCCCCCCACCCTCTTCACGCGCGCACGTGCCGGTCTATAAGTGGACATGCGGGTTGTGCAGAGCAGGGTTCGCGTCACCCCGCCCCACCTCCCCCTCACACCAAAGATAGTACTCACATGTGCAAGACTTTTGTGTCGTATTTGTCTAAAAACATGACTTGAGAGCGTTTTTAAGCCCAATTTTTGTCATTTTTATCAAATTTCTCCACACACGGAGACTATGTGCATTAAACTGGATAACTAGGCCTAGTTTAATCTATAATATGATTCCCTTTTGTCAACTGTCTTGTCTCTTCAATGGTCAACAAGTTCTTCAGCGTCCCTAAACAACAAAAAAATCAGGATTTTGTAGCATTTTTCTGACCATTTTTAAACGAAATCCCATCCAAAGAAGTGGCGTTGCCCCAAATTCACGGTAGCAATTATTGTGTTTCTACAAGTCGCCTTGTTAAGCCGATACATTTGCTGAACATAGAGTGTAACGCTTGATGTCTCCACAAATCACGGTTGCTTACTCCTCAAATAAATTATTAGAAATTCCTATACAGTTATTACCTATGTTCCTGATAAGTTGTTCCAATTCGTCCCTCCAAAGTCTAGCAGTCAGGTATCTATCAGACGAGAATTCTTCAAACTGCCCGGTGTTTTCACGTGAAATCTGGCTCAATTTTGGGCTTTGCTGGTGTCAAAAAGCCATGTTCCTTTCACAATTAGACGCTTTGAATTTCACGTTCATACTAAGCAATCAGAGTCAGTAGCCAATGCCTGTTTATTGCTACTTAGCAAATAGCACAATTTGTTTTAAGTATTATTCCCAGAAGATGCGAAATAATTTTGCTTGATGTCAAAATCGCTGCACAAACACGTCTATTTCGGTTCATGCATTTACTGAAGGCGATAACTTTATTGCCTGGCCTCATAATATCGAACTCAATCAAATGTGAACAGCCAGGTTTAAATTTCAAATTTCCGCGTTAAGTACTGTCAACAAATGGGAAGGTTACTCTGGCGATGTTGCCTAGGTTACATGCTGGAGACGTAATCCAATACGGCGACCTTGCGCTTGCGGTGACCTACGTGCGCACCCAAGCACGACGCCACTTAGAATTTGCATTAAACAGGGGTCCCCCATTAAAGCATAAACACGCCAGGTACAGGTAGTTGGTTTTGTTTAAGGTTTTTGGCGGTTGCACGGGTGTATGTGTATTTTAACATGCTTCCGTAGACACACACACACGCACACGCACACACATGCACAATCAAGACGCCACTGATAACGCATCACAGGATGGCGTTAGCGTAAATAAGGCGCGCGGGAGCAAGTGAAGCAGTGCTTCGGCTTCGACTATAATAGCTGGCGACAGATGCGCGTGCAACGTCACAGGAGATAATTAATGAGACCGCAAAAGTTAACCAGGGTGCAAACTCGGTGTCCGTGTGTGTTTACACACCCTCGTGCGGTTTGCCAGTGGCTTCATGATAAACGTTGAATTTAACATGCCCCTAGCCTGACCGATTCATTGTGGGGAGCTGGGCCATTGTTATAAATTCCTGCCGATAACGTCATGTCATGTAAATCATCCAATCACCTCTAAGTGTCATTAATAACATTAGCCGAAATTGACGGGGTATTAGCACCAGCCACCAAACTCGGTATTTTCATCAATCTGCTTTCACTTTCTGGCCTTTCACGGCCATCACTACAACCAAAATGCCAGCCAATCTGTGGGAGACCATAATCTGATTTTTAAAAAAAACCTGCAAGTCTTATCACCACGATACGCCGTAGTTTACACCTGGCCAAATTTGACGCCAGCATTTAAAGTGGCGTACAGGTAGCCGATGATGCGTTGCGTGGTGTGTGTGCAGAGAGCCGAATTATTTACTATCAAACCTGATGGTGGCACTACATACAATTGCGACTGGTGGTAGAAAAAGAGGTCGAAAAAATAAAAATTTATAAACCTGTGGCGCTGGGGCGTAAACATGGCGTGTCCCCTGAAGAGTGACACTCCTGGACCTGTTTGTGCGTGTGTGTGTGTGTGTGTGTGTGCGTACGAAACCGAGGCATCAAGGGGTGGACATTCCCCTTGCACCGTTTTAACGCATGAGAAAACTCCAGTCTGTCGGCAAAGTGACACCTGACTGTTGGCTGCACAAACTCGTGGCAGCCACGTAAGACTAGTGAACTGTCGTCAAGCTGGTGTGAGTGAAGCTTATTCAAGAGCTGATCGGATCTCATTGATTATCGATTACCGTTCACGCACCCTTATATAAAAGGACTTGGGTGATCGCATGCAAAAAAACTCGCAATCGTTGTCGTCAGCTCGGCTGTTAACTAGCAGGGTCACTGGTACCAGCATGTT